TTAATAAAAAATTATTTCTTTATCAAATAGTTTTCATTATAAACTTTTTAACGAGATCAATATAAAATTTTGATAACAAATTCTAACATGTATTATAGGACCATATTTGTGTCAAATTATCGATTTACCATCTCTAAATGATGGTTCAATTCAAAATATGAAACGATTGAGAATTGAAATTAAACCTAAATGGTAAAATTAACAAATAAGAAGACATATTTTTACAAGTATATATTAATTATTCTATATATACTTGATTTTGATTAAACTCATAACCAATTCAACTTGAATTGACCTAATCTAAAGGTTGACCTAAACCAAAAATCAACCGATCAGATATTGACCCGACCCGAAATCTAACCGATCCGGTATTAACCCGACCTAAAAATCAACCGATTCGATATTGACAGACCATATATTGACCCGGTCCAAAATTCAACCGATTCAATATTGATCGGAACTGGAAAACAACTGATTCAATAATCACCCGACCCAAAAATTAACCTCACCCGATCCAATTTATCGTACACTCGAACTAGATCTGAATCAGATCCGATCCGATCCAATCCGAATAATATTAAATCGAATTTAATCTAAACCCGAAATGACCATACCCGACATGACCCGATCCAAACCCAATCTGAATGACCCGTTTGCCACCTCTACATTTGCTTATCATCCAAAATTTTCTGCTAAACAAGAAACGACTTATTTTTATATAAATTTAATTAGATTGATTTATATCATTATTATTAAAAATTTGTATCCGATAAATATTCATGTTTAAATTTAAGTATTTACAACAAATTTTTTTATCTCACACTAAAATCTCTCTCTCTCTCTCTCTCTTAAAGAATTAACAAGTTAATTTATACAGACGTTCCTAAATTTTAAGCTAAAAATATTCAATTAATGATTAAATGTTAATTATTTTTTTTAATTATTAATATAATTTTAATCACGTTATCCTATCACTGTGTGGTTAGCCCTAGGAGAAGAGGGAGTTAAGTGGTTGACCAACATCTTTAATATTATTTTAGAGACTGCCAAGATGCCAGAGGAGTGGAGAGAGTCTACGGTGATACCAATCTATAAAAATAAAGGAGATCCCCAACGTTGTGGTAACTACAGAGGTATTAAACTACTCAGCCATACCATGAAGCTATGAGAAAGGGTGATAGAGGCTAGGTTGAGACAAGTTACTAGGGTTTCGGAAAACCAATTTGGCTTTATGCCAAGCAGGTCTACCACAGAGGCGATTCATCTACTTCGACGGCTTATGGAGAAATATAGGGAAAAGTCTAGAGATCTTCACATGGCGTTCATTGACCTTGAGAAGGCTTATGATAGCGTTCCTCGCGATACGATCTGGAAGACTTTGGAAACGAGACGGATACCAACTGCTTATATCCGGGCGATTCGTGATATGTACTGTAGATCTACTACTTACGTCAGGACTACAGTTGGCGACACCGAGGCATTCCCGGTGGAAATCGGACTCCACCAGGGGTCGGCTCTTAGCCCTTACATCTTTGCCTTGATTATGGACGACATCTATTGTGCTACACCAGACAGTGTACCTTGGTGTATGCTTTTCGCTGACGACATTGTTCTAGTTGCTGAAACAAAATCTGAGTTGAATAGTAGACTGGCTACCTGGCAGACTGCTTTGGAAGAAAAAGGTTTAAGGATCAATATTGAAAAGACAGAGTATTTATGTTCAAACTTCAATGGGAACCAAAACGATGAAGATGTAGAAGTATGCATAGAAGGACACGTTCTTCCCTCAAAGGATTGTTTCAAGTACTTAGGGTCTATGATACATAAAGATGGGGGTGTAGATGATGACGTTACACACCGTATAAAGGCGGGATGGCTAAAGTGGAGGGCCGCTACTGGAGTTTTGTGTGACAATAAGGTGCCTCTAAAACTTAAGGGAAAATTTTATAGAATGGCAATAAGACCAGCGCTGTTGTATGGATCAGAATGTTGGGCAACCAAGAAGGATCACGTTAGGAGGATAGAGGCCGCAGAAATGAGAATGCTTCGATGGACATGTGGTAGGACTCTGTGGGATATGACGACAAACTCTGCTATTAGGATGTCCTTAGGGGTGGTGTCTGTTTCCGAAAAATTGAGGGAGGGAAGACTACGGTGGTTTGGGCATGTCCTTAGGCGACTACCGTCGGATGCGGTCAGGAGGGTAGAGTCGATTACAGTCGACGGTGCCAGAAGGAAAGGACGACCAAGGAGGAAGTGGGAAGACTGCTTGAGATCTGATTTGATGGATTTAGGCCTTACCGAAGACATGACCTATGATAGGAAATTATGGAGGCTTAAGACTAGGGTAGTCGAGTAGTGTGGGTCACATCTATAGGGTGTATCATCTTTGTCTTCTTTTAAATGCATTTGTAGTAATTTCCATGACTTTTACTTTTTATACTTTTCTGTTATTGGTATTTATGAAAGATTAGAACTGGGCTTGCTATAATTGTCTTCTGTGTATCATTCTCGTCATGTTTCCTCTGTTAAATTTAGCCGGTCTTATGTTTCTGTCTATATGCAGAGATTCTTTCGCAGGGATTATTTTGCAGGGATTACTCCCCATTACAGAAGCACATATGATATTAATGACTGCATATGAATACTGTTTAGCTATGTATTTATGTAATTATTTATACATGCATTGCATTTTATCTATATTTTTAATTTTCTGACTGCCGGAGGTCTTTCACGGAAGCTATCCTCAACCTGGCGTTGGGGGCAGCCTACTACCCTACCTCCCCCTTACCCCATACATATGGGAATTGGGTTTTGTTGTTGTTGTTGTTGTTAATGACACATGTTATCATTTGATTATGATACATGTATTTTTATTTTTTTTTTTATTTCATTTCCCCTTTTCATTATTCTATTATTCTTTTTAATTTTCATAAATTTTTAAATTATATTTTTCATAAACTAAATGAAAACTAAAATGATAAATGATATATGTTACAATTAAAATCAATTTTGGATTTATAATAGTTTATATTATATTACAAGTAACATTTTACTAAAAAAATATAAAAAAAATATTGAAGCAATTTGTATTTTATTTTTCACTTTTAGATAAATATTTTTTATTTTTGATAAATATAATAAATTTCATGAATTTTTTTTTCAATTTCTCTTTTTTTATTTTATATAAATAGAAAGTAATATTTTTATATTATATTATATTAAAATTAATATTTTAATAAAAATAATTATAAAATTATTGATCTGATTTATATTTTACTATGATTAATTTTTAAATTTTTTTGAAAACTTTTCTTCTTCTTTTTAAATTTATATTCGATATTAATTAGTATAAATTTTGTTTGCACTAATTTATTTATGGAAAATAAAATAAAAAATATGTTCTCAACTAAGTAATCTAGTTAAACTTTTACATTTCACAGATTAATATAAAATTTAAGTTATATATAATTTAAGAATGTTTGATATAATTAACAAGAATAAAGAAGTGAAGGCATGGCCTAATTTCTATGATGGATGTCTTCGCCAAATATAAAACACAGATTCTGCCTATCTCTTCCTCTCAATAATCTTACCTTAACAAGACAAAAGTACATTTAGGAACTCTTTATTTTTTTTTTGTTCAAAGGTTCTTTTGATAAATTTAGTCGTTAATATCTTTTAATTGTTAATGATAATGACAATGATGTTTATAGATTCGTATAAGAAAACTATAAAAATCTCACTGCTCAGTGGCATGCAATAATGCAACAAAAAAGCTTGCCTTAACAAATACCCAGTGTCATGCATGGCATCTTGGCAATGTTAATTTATTTATTTTTTGGGTTTTTACCTTTTCTTTGTTTATTAGGCCGCCTCGTGCAAACCCAGACCTCAATAATATTAATTTTAATCGAATTCAAATTTTGAGTCATTAGTAGTGATAGGGCTTTACTTGAAATAAAAAAGATATAGCCATATAGGACACAGTCTGAACAGCTACCATGTATGTATGTATGTATGGTTGGTTGGTTTGTGACCTGGGTTTTGTGTAAATGGAAACATGCATGCAAGGGCTTTGCTATCTTGAGTCTTCACCAGCCACGGAATTCACTGTCCAATCATTTTTGACCACTTGGGACTCCAACGGACCCCAGGAAACAAAGGTTCGTTTTGCCCGGAAAATGACGTCAGTTATGGAGATTAAATTTACAAACAGTTGGAGCCTTTGAGATAATAAGTGGCGTAGGTTAGGAGAGTGTTGGCTATGTAGGACAGAAAAAGTTATGCTCATTTTTCATTTTTTTTTCCTTTTTCTTATTTATATTTTTGTTACTTTAAGTGGGAACTAGGAACACTAAGACGTTAACGTTTGATTGTAGCGTTTTAAAGTAAGTATATATATATATATTACACATTTTCTCCTCCTTTTCTCACCATGTATTAAGTATTTTAATTTGCGGGTTGTTTTGGATTCTTTTGTTTGCTTTCAAGTAGTGGTGGAAGACCAGAAACTGAAAGGTGCTGTTTTCACAAAAACAGGAGCAACCTTGAGTGTTCACTTCGGCCTCTTTTTTCACCGGAAGAACTTTGGGGTTCTTGAAAATCCAGTTGATCCATAAGGTTAGTTTGTAAAGTTTCTCAAATTTCATTCTTTTTCCCCCCTTATTTGAAAGTTTTGAAAAGATTCAATCTTTTCCTTTCCAGACTTTCCCTGTTTGATCATATCCTTTAAGGTTGTGGTCTAGTAGGTTGGTGTTTTGAGTTTTGCTGACCATCTGCTTGTCATTTTTACTATCCTTTATCGATATTCTATGATGGCTGATGATTGCAACATGTAATTTTGGGGACAGTTAAGAGCTTGAGTTCGACTATGGTAGCTTGGTTTTAGATTTTTAGTTCATGATTCTGAGCTTTAGTTTGTTCCTGTCGCTATTTTTTTTCAGGCATTTGTATCACTGTATGAGCATTTTTGAAATCTGTCATTTTTAATACCAGTTTCTTGATAGAGTATGAACTCTACATCAAATGAACTCACCAGAAGGATGGCAATATACGAGCAATCCCACCAGATATGCGGGTGGGGAGACGCATTCAACCGCGAATCGTCCTCAATCGTAGAGATGGATGTTGGGGTAGAGAACAAGGTGAAGACGCATTTGGTTTTGTTTCTAGCTTGGTTAATCTCTTTTTCTTCCGGTTACAGGGCTATAACTATATTGTTCTGTGATTTAAATCATTAGGCCGGATATATATCTTGTGATCAAGTTGAACCTTCAAGAAGTGATCAAGAAACAAACAGGCCCAATGATAAGGTGATGATTTTGTACACAAAATAAAATCCTTCACCCCAACTCCTTCATTTAGCAAATGATAGCTATTAACAAATAATATGTACAGACACAGAGACGTCTGGCACAAAACCGAGAAGCTGCTCGTAAAAGTCGTATTCGGAAAAAGGTAGGAATTTTGATAGTTATTTCATTTGTTTTTTTGGAAATATACAAGTATTTATGGTTTTATTTTATCTATATAGACCTATGTTCAAGAATTAGAATCAAGTCGTTTGAAACTAGCTCAATTGGAGCAAGAGCTTGAAAGAGCTAGGCAGAAGGTGAAGTGAAAACTCATATCTTTGTTCATCGTGTTTCTGATTATGGCATATACCAATCAGTTAGGCAATGCCTTTAATGCAGGGTATATACATAAGCAGTGCACCAGATTCTTGTTATTTCGGGCTATCGGGAACCACAAACCCAGGTCAGTCCATCAGAATATGTTCACATGATTTCCATGGAGACTTGACATATTTTTAACTTGTGCATACATCAGTCTAGCTACATGGGAATGTTGCAGGGATTAGTGCATTTGAGATGGAATATGGACACTGGGTTGAAGTGCAAGATAAACAGGTTTGTGAACTTCGAAATGCACTTCAGGCACAGATTACTGATATAGAGCTACAGATACTGGTACAAAGTGGCTTGAATCACTACTGCAATCTTTTCCGAATGAAAGCCGAGGCTGCAAAGGTCGATGTCTTTTATTTGAGCTCAGGCCTTTGGAGAACTTCGGCTGAGCGGTTTTTCCATTGGATAGGAGGATTGAGGCCATCAGAGCTTTTAAATGTAATGCAATGCAGTCCCAACTTCTTTGTTTTTTTCTTCTCTTTTGGGTTTTAGTGTTTGATGTCATTATGCGCACAGCGTATAGGAATGGCCATATTTTTCTGCAATTTTCCATGTATTCAAAGAATTTCTGTTTCGTATAGGCTGTCATGTCGCATATCGAGCCCTTGACCGATCAACAACAGTTGGAAGTTTGTCACCTCAGACAATCTTCTCAGCAAGCTGAAGATGCTCTTTCACAAGGAATGGACAAACTTCAGCACAATTTGGCCCAAAACGTGGCATCTGATTTCAGCTGGGGAAACTACAGAGCTCAGATGGCTGTTGCAACAGATGTATTAGAAGCACTTGAGGGCTTTGTAAACCAGGTACGTTACTTGAATCTATTCGTTCCAAAGCTATGTTACTCAGGTTTGAATGTCGAATACAGCTATGTATTAACATCGACATAGAATACTTGAGAAAATTAATGAGTCGAAACATTTGATTACTTACTTTTGGTTGCCTTCTTCCCACTGAAACACAGGCGGACCACCTTCGGGAACAGACGTTGCTACAGATGGTTCGAGTGCTCACTACCCACCAAGCAGCTCGAGCATTGCTTGCCTTAGGGGAATACTTTCATCGTCTACGTGCTCTCAGTTCACTCTGGGCTGCCCGTCCACGTTAACCACCAATAGATACATATATAGGCGGTAGAATCACCACTAGTTTGTTCCTCAACTAGTAACCAAATAGACATTATCCTATATGACTTCAGTCTGCTATAATATTATAATATATATAATGTTTTGATTCTTGAGCATAAAACATGTAAATATGAATAATGTATAAAGAAGAATTTCATGACATTAAATTTATTGATGTTGTATGCTGATACTGTATTGTTCGGAAGCTGGAGAAGTATATTAGCAAGCTCTGAATCTGATTATTACAATGTTTTTTGCCATTTTTACCCATAGTATAATAAGATTTGGTAGTGTATACCACCTCTTCCTCATCAGGTAATGTAAGATTCCTGGAACTCTCTTTTTCAATTTTATTATTTCTTTTTATAATTTTAGTAAACTTTACTCTTTTGATCAAACAAAATTTGATACAATTTAAATCTTTCTAAACGAGATGAAAATAAGTATTTAGTTCAATTAAATTGAATACAACTTATTTATTTTTATCAAAATGGAACTTTAATTTAATATTTTAATCAACTATTTCGTTGCCATTATTAGGGTTCGTGTAACTTTATATTATCCATGATGATGTAATAATGTATAAAATTCAGTTATTAAAATAAAACATTTTAAATGTGAGTGACCAAAATAGGAAAACGGAGAAAGTAGAGTGATAAATTGTGTACTTTACCCTGACTGTAAACTTCTTAAATATTGCCATCGAAGGCCCAAAAGTGAAAAATATATGTGCCGCCCAATTAATCCCCTTGCCAAATAGAAATTTTTTTTGGAACCTGACGTGAATCGAACACACAACCTTCAAACCTGAAGTCAGACGCGCTAACATTGCGCCACGGATCCAGCAAATTTAAAGGTTGCAAGAAAGAATTTTCAATGACGTTAACATACGGGAATGAAATCAAAGCGTGTCAACTGCCATGGCCAAGAAAAAAAATCAATGGAGAAAAAGGGTTATCGAATATGTGTCCGCCGTTAAAACATATTGTCGTAGATACAGAATTAAAGCACGCACTGCGATATTACACAGTTTAATATGTAAAATGAGCCAATCAAGCTTGGAAAACCTAATTGTTTTTTAAGGCTAAGGACAAAACAAAACCCTAAGGGTGCGTTTGGTTCACGGAATGTAAGATTATTAGTGGTAATAAAAGATTACCAGAGAATAGGATTACTGGGAATGTTGTATTTTGTGTTGGGTTGTTTTAGCATGAATGTAAGATTACCATGTTTGGTTAAAGGAATAAAAGATTATTGAATGTATATTTGACTAAATTGTCTTTATTATATATTTGTTTTTTTAACAAGTTGAAAAATATTTATATATTTTCTTTACAAATTTAAATTCATAAAATTTATATAATTTTTTACAAAATTGAAAATATAAAAAGGTTTAATGAAAGGGTAAAATTTTATTTTAACTCCTGAACTTCATATAAAATTTTAATTATAGATTTTTTTTGTAAATCTAAAATAGTTTAAGGATAAATTTGTAATTTAACCTTCGTAGAATTTTTATTATTCAATAACAGAATAAGGATATTTTTGAAAGAAATTTTTTTAAGGACATTTTAATCCAAAATGCCGGTAATCCAACAATACATAAGGAAATGGAGGTAATGACATTCCCGGTAATATGCCCCCAAAAAATCCACTATTGGTAATTGGTTGGGGGAATGTGAGATTCTCATGGGAATGAAATCCACATTCCCCCATTTGGTTGGCCGGGAATATCATTTCCGATAATCTTATATTACCAATAGTAGATTTTTTGGGATATATTACCGGGAATGTCATTATCTCCATTTCCTTAGGTATTGTTGGATTACCGGCGTTTTGGACTAAAATGCCCTTAATTTTTTTTTCCTTTCAAAAAATATTCTTATTCTGTCATTGAATAATAAAAATTCTACGAAAGTTAAATTATAAATTTATCCTTAAACTATTTTAGATTTACAAAAAAAATCTATAATTAAAATTTTATATGAAGTTCAGGAGTTAAAATAAAATTTTACACTTTCATTAAACATATTTATATTTTCAATTTTGTAAAAAAAATTATATAAATTTTATGAATTTAATTTTTTTAAAGAAAATATATAAATATTTTTCAACTTATTAAAAAAACAAATATATAATAAGGATAATTTGGTCAAATATACATTCCAATAATCTTTTATTCCTTTAACCAAACACGGTAATCTTACATTCCTGCTAAACCAACCAAACACAAAATACAACATTCCCAGTAATCCTATTCCCTGGTAATCTTTTATTTCCACTGATAATCTTACATTCCGTGAACCAAACACACTCTTAGAGTTTAAGCTGAATGAGCGTTGAAAATGTTATCAGAGTACGTTATGAACATATATAAGAAATACGATTGCTCCCAATAATATCATGATTTAATAATAGAAAAGGTTGTAATCTAGAATTTTAATACTTTTTAATAATAAACAGGTTGTGTCGAAAATGTTATCAGAGTTTAAGATAATGGAGTCTTGGATTATCCTAGTATAAAAAAATAAGTTTAAATATGAAAAATGTTATGAACATATATATAAGAAATACAGTTGCCCAATAATTTCATGGTTCAATACTAAAAAAGACTGTAATATGGAATGCTAATATTTTTAATAATAAAGTAGCTTGTGCCGAAAATTTTATTATATTTTGCCTTGGATTATCACAGTATAAGAAAATAAGTTTAAAACTTAAAATGTAATAAATATATATAAGAAATACGGTTGCCCCTAATAATTTCATGGTTCAATAATAAAATAGGTGGTAATATAGAATGTTAATACTTTTAATAATAAAACAGATTGCACCGAAAATGTTGTCAGAGTTTAAAGTCTTGGATTATCCCAATATAAGAAAATAAATTTAAAACTGAAAATGCTTTGAATATATATAAGAAATACGGTTGTGTCTAATAATTTCATAGTTCAATAATGAAAAAATTGTAATATGGAATGTTAATATTTTTAATAATAAAGTAGGTTACGCCGAAAATATTATCAAAGTTTAAGCGGATAAGACCTTGGATTTTCCGAATATTGGAAAATAAGTTTAAAACTAAAAATTTTATGAACATATATAAAAAATGTGGTTGCGCACATTAATTTCATGGGTCACTAAGAAAAAAGTTGCGCCCAATAATATCATGGCTAAGTAAGAAAGCATGTTGCAATCTAGAATATTAGCACTTTTAATAATAAAATAGGTTGCACCTAAAATGTTATCAGAGTTTAATTTGATGGAGTTTTAAATTTTCCCATAAAATAAGTTAAAAACTAAAAATCTTTGTACACATATAATAAGTACGGTGGCACACAAAAAAAGATCGAAATAATTAGTATCGATATGTAATATAATAGTATCGATAATTTTAAATATTAAAAAAATTTTGAAGATAAGATCAAATATTAAAATAATGATACTTATGCGTTAATGATCGAAACTTGTAAAAATTGAAAACGAAAACGATGATAAAAATATCAAAATTTAAAATTAAATTGTTTGAAAATCCTTAAATAGTTTGAAAAGCCTCACCAATCAAAACTTGAACACGTTGATAAAAACATAAAAAGATAGATACGTTGAAAATCCTAATGTTGTGGTGTCGCAGCAAGAGCGAGGTTTCCAGCCCAAAACGAATCGACTGCAATTTTGATAAGAAGAACTATCCTTGTAACTTAGTCAACCAAGTTTGGCAACCGAGGGCCAACCTATGCAGTTCTTATGGTTATTATTTTTGGGATCATGAAGCAACTTTATTTTGTAATATGTTGCAACCTGAGTTTGAGTTTTAATTTAAATAAATATTGGGGTTGTTTCTATTAGGACCATGAAAATAACAATTATTATTAATTTAAAAAAAATGAAAGAATATAAAATAGTAAATGAATTAGTATTACAGACGCGACCTATAATGTTAGACTTATAAACTCGTTTTGTCTAATTGTTGCATAAAAAAGGTTTGAAAAATATAATATTATCGGTAGACAATCAAACAAATGTGTATTTTATAATGTTATACTCATAAATCTATTTTGTATTACTTTTAATAATATAAAAGGTTATAAACATATAACGTAAAAGGTTGAAAATTAAAAAAGGTACTACCTATAATGTTATACTTGTAGACCTATTTATGCTGAGTTTTGCATAACAAAAACGAATTCAAACAAATAAATTTGTTTTGTATTAGTTATAAACCTGTTACTAGGGTTCTTTATCAATTTCATTTGGGTTTTGTCTAACTTAAAAACGGTTTGAAACATATAAACAGAGTTATCAATAAAATGTATCGATCCTGGAAATGAACTTAAATTGAAAGTACTTATTTAAGATATAGTGCATAATTTAAAATGATATTGAAACATATATCAAATGTATTGATACATTTTCAAGATAATATATTATCTCCACATTCGAAATAAATTGTATCAGAATTGTCACGAAAAGTATCGATCCTATAAGTTAAGTTAATTGAAATAACTTATTTAAGATATATTGCAACGTTCATAAAGAGACAAATTATTATTCAAGAAAGTAATACGAAATATAAAATATCCATACTTAATCTATGTGATACTTTATCGATAAATCTAATATATACACATGAGTTTTTTTTTGTTAAAGGGGTACTTTGTATTAAGAAATAACACGAAAGTACATCACCTCAAATACCTCATTCAAAAACCTCCCTAAACCTATGTGGAGGGAAAAGAGTATAACCTTGGGGGTGGAAAAGGCAAATTGCCAAAGCCTCTATACAATACAACAAGATACCAGGTTCAGACCATAAAGACAACCCATACCAGGCTAAACAAGGTGCAAACGAACATCATGAAGGGATAACAAATAAAATAACGCACTTCAGACAAAACCAAAACAGCAGCAAGCAACAGTGATCAACACCACTGACTCAAACAGAGATGCACCATCATGAAAGCGAGAACAACAAAAAGGTGCCGGAGCCTTGAAATTTTTGGCAATGAAACTTGAAGAATGGAGACCAACGAACAGCAAGGATCCTGAGAGAATAAGGAACGACCAGGATTACTGGAAAGGAAAGCCACAAGCAACGAACCAGCTTGGTGAGCAACCGAGACTGCTGGAA